TGCTGGCCTGTTAATGCCAAGGAATGCTCTGGTAAAATTGACATTGGTGTACCTGCAGTCTGTGGTAACAGTAGCAAGTCTGTGACAACAGCCTGCTGAGTTGTACCCTTGAGAGTTATGTAGGACATCTGATGATGAGGCAAATAACCAAAATGTGTACCAGGGTTTATCCTAACCAGCCTGTTTGCTCACCCTTCCTGGAAGTGAGGTCCCTCAGTGATAGAATTAGATGCTGAAGAAACAAGCAAATTCCTTTGCTACAAAGGGCAGTGGCAGTCAGGGCAGAAGCTTGCTCTGCTCTATCTAGCTGGAGACAAACATTTGTAAGATTTGAACACATCTGTCTTTTGGATTGTATCACAGAATTTTACAACAAAAACTTGTGCATATCCTAATGTGCAGCAGTATATTACCCTTGATTTCAGAGGTGTCTATAAGTAAGTCTGTGCAGCAATACCTGAAGTGCAGCGTGGAGCTCCTGGCATGCTGATAGGGTGGGTGGGTATCTACAGGTTGTCCTCAGGTTCTCAGCCCTCTTACCATAAGGCAGGGTATTCTCTGTCATAAATATGTTGGAGATCTGCTAGTGAGCATTTAATAATTGTGATTTTTTTTAATTAAGAAAAAGTAGAATTCATGAAAGACACTGCAGTAGTAATGCAAATAGTATCATTACTAGTTACTGTGTTCAAGGTCCCCACAGGAAAGCTCTAAGTCACTCACCTTAGGAGCTGGAGGTCTATGGCCTTTTAAATCCCGATTTAGGGCTGTAAAACCGATGTGGTTTTTGAAGGAAGGGAGAACTTGAACTTCAGGCATGGACAGGAATTTGAGCTGAAAAAAGCCCTTTGCTGCTCTAAGTATCAGCTTGTCCTTAGGCTTTGTTGCTTTGTTTAAGAACTGAAGCAAACCCTAGGAAGGGGATGAAAGCTTAGACAGTGCCCTATTGTGTGTGCAGTGAGTGGAGGGGGGAATGGCATGCAGATCCTGTCTCTTGCCCAAGTTTCAGAAAGGGTCAGAAACATCTATGGTAAAGGGGAAAAGGATTCTTCTCAATTTCATTATTTTTTTTAAAGAAGTGAAATGAAGTGATTTCACTGTCTAGGATGTTTTACTCCTATACAGAGTCTGAATATTTGAAGATTTTTAGGAATGTGAAATTGGCAGCATTCACAGCAAGAACTAGACTTATGCCCTATAGAAGACCTGGGAAGTAATGACCCCCTTTGTGAGAGGCATGCCTTAATGTGTTGGAGGAATGTATACAGAATGGAAAGTTCCATTGGTGTTTGTTTATGAAAAAGACATGAATGGTTTGGGATTTGTTTTTAGTGTGTGTAAAAGGAACACAGGGACACCATGTGTAAAGTCAGTACATTCTGCAAAGTCTCTCGCAAGCTTATTGCAACCTGTTATAAAATAATAGTATAATACAAGTCCAGGCTGGTGTAGGAACTGAAAGAATACTCACGGTGAGACAAAATTCCCCTTTTGCTAACGATTTAAGCATAAGAGTACAAGTTCAGTCTGTGGGAAATGCTTGGTGTTTGTTGTTGGCTTTTTTTGGTCTGAAGCCATGACTTTCAAAAGAACTTGGGGAGAAGGTGTAAAGCAAAACAGTGCAAGTTCCTTGTTTATTTTGTTAAAATTATTTAGCTACTGACTGATTTGAGAGATCAGGTCCTTTGCCAAAATTTAAATCAGCCAGGAGCAAATGATTTAAAAACTCAAGGTGCAGAACTTGATTTATATATTTTTTAATCTGAATCAAGCACGTTGTTTATCATTGGTACTGACACTCGTTTCAATGGCATGTACTTGTTTTGATGTGTTAATGTACAACTCTGATTTAAAACAGCGCTTTGCTAAGTTCCTTATACTCTTTTTCCCCCTCCTATAACTCTGCATTCATGGATAAAAATCAAAACTGTGTCAGCATTTGTCACTTGTTAGGTGCCGGAAGTATTTATTTCATGTTCAATTAACAATCAGTGCAATGCAGAATTGATTTCTTTTAAAATAGGTGATGCTATTTTAACCATACTGTATTAGTCCCTGTTTATCCAGCTCAGTTAACCACATATTTATTGATTTATCCATTCAACCATGAAAATATTTTCCTTTTTTGCTTGTATTTGATTTATGTTATAAGTAAAGGATGATCTGTTTAACTTTATATATTGTGGTTCTAGTTACATAAATGTGAAAGGTTTTTTTGTGTGTAAAGTGGCATTAGTAATTTTGCTCAGGTAGGAGGCTTGGGTGGTTCTAGGACTTCTGTTTGATATTCGTATGGCACTTGTGGTTTCACAGGAGCCTTGATTAAACCAGTATCACTCAGAGTGCGGAATGTTCTCAGTTTTAGTGCAAGTCAGAGAAAGTTTCTCAGTTAAGAAGCTCAGTGCTTTTTGTCTCTTGGCACAGTGAACCCGTGGTACTGACAGACATAGATAAACACAGTTTTGATCATGACTTCTAAATAAGAAGCTGAAACACTGAAATCTGGGTCTGAATTGGTGCTGCTTCAGGCTTTCATGTTTTGTCAGCTTTGCATGCATTAGGAAATCTGTTCATGGTAAAAATTCACGTAAAAATGCACAAGCCGTATTACTGAACTTCAAAAACCCCACTGCTGGCACATCAAAGAATGCAGCAGCTGTCATCCAGCTTTAGCTGTGGTGCTCCTGAATGCCTTAATCCTGTTCCCAATGTTCCCAAACAGAAAGAGGCAAGGAGTGTGCACTTTCTTTATACTCCCCCTTTTATTTTTTTTTCCCAAGTGTTGGCATAGCAAAATCCAGAATATGTTTTCTGCAGTTATCACTACATGACATTACATTATTTGCATCTAATTTAGGCATTTCAGTCCTTCTCATGAATGTTAAGCTCTTTCAAATTTACTTTTATTAAAATCAGCAATCATTTACACTGGGCTTAATCCCAGGTGTTTTAATTATCAAAACGAGTATTCAGTTGTACTTCGTTTTCATTTAGGTCCACTTCAGGTTGGAAGTGACTGGTAATTCTTCTGTTCCCATTCAGTTGCTGAAGGAATTTATGTTGAGATTGCACTGAGAACCAGAGTTAGAGGAAACATACCTGAGTACCAATAAAATGTATTTTACTTTATGAAATCTTCATTTGTTCAGATTTTTTATTACAGTGCAAGTCTTGCAAGGCAGCTACTGCAAAATACCGTATTGAAGAGGCAAACCAGATATGTTACAAATATAAATTTTAATCTGTTACAGCGCTTTTACTGACTTTAACAGTGCAGTGTCCAGTTTCCAAAGTGAGTCACAGCAGATGGCTGGGAACTGTGAGAATGGAGCAGGCATACAGTGATGCTTCCTCGTTGTGCTTGGCTGTCACATTAGCATTTTCTGACCCAGAATCTGTTCTTTGAAATAACTGAATCAAAGCATGTAACTAAATCAAATTTGTGTTCATTCATTTGCCTGATCACTTTCCTGAATTGTATTTCAGGAATATTTTTCAAATAAGCTCAAGAAAGCAGTACAGGAAAACTATTCATTTTGAATTCAGTTATTAGAAATAGATTCTAAAAGTTTTTTTTTTTATTTATTGGAATTTATATTTGTTTATTAACCACTGACTTGCAAAATGAATTAGCGCGGCAGAGATCTCAGCAGAGAAAAGAAGTGTTATGCATGTGTACAGCTGCTCCACAAAGTTGTCTTGTAGGCCCTCCTTTCTATGTCTTTGCTGGCCTCCAGCTGCTCAGACAAAAAATGACTTGCAGTGTAACAACAAGTGAATTGCTAGAGAGTCAATTTTAACATTTTAAGAATCCAAATGTGTAGCCCAATTTACTCAAAATGACTTTGAAAAATCTGCTTTAAAAATGTTGACCAGGATAGTACTGAAAGCCTGATGACATTTGATGACAGGTTGAAAATGACATTTGATGACAGGGTTTGGTATGCTTAGAAATACTTCTGTTATTAAAGTTGCCCTAGTGCCAACCACTCCTATACTGCTCATTTGTGTGACACACTGGCCATCACAACACACAGGAAAGATTAGAGATTACATGCAATAGCTCCAGTCCTTTCCTTGTCAGACAAGGATCTCTCAGCATCTACTATTACCTTATTGTGGTTTATTCTTGCAAGCCCATTTCCCCTTCCCTCTCCATTAAAACCCTTTTCCAAACTCCTCACTTTGAAATGTCATTTTGTTACATCTCTGCAATGTTAGACAACGTTCAGCATTATTCTTAAGGAAAATAGTTGATGCCAAGAAAGGAAATAGGCAGTTAACATTTTGGGATGTTCATGGTAATTTATTGCTATCTTTCACTGGATGAGGGATCATTTGTTTGCTTTGCTCTTGACAGAGCACAAAAAGAACATCTTTAATTCAATGAAAACTCATGATGATACCTCATTACTATGAAATTCAGGTGTTGATAGCCTCAGTAGAGCATGTGCAACAGACAAAGGAGCTCCTGGGGACTGATGTCACAGTGCTCCAGGAGTTAATATTGGGATGTCCACAGCTGCATCCAGACATTTCTCACGTCAATGAAGTGATGTAGAAACTGAAGGCCAGTTTCCAAGTATTTGGAGGAGACACCATTTGAGGGAGGAAAAAGGCATCTTTACTCTTTCTTTTCACTTCTTCTCAATTCTTCTTTCCAGGAGAAGAAGATAATATGTATGTGATGTAATCTTAAAAAATCTATACTACTGTCTTCTGACATTTGTCATTTTAGAAGTGAAAAGGAAAAATAATCTTAGAGGTTCCTGCTTTGTTTTTAAATTGTGACTTTGAAATAAGAAAGCAGAAGGTATGTGGTATGATCGGCTCTTGCATGTTATGTGCTGCATTATTGAAGGGCTACTGTAAGGTAGTAGATGATCTTTTTTCTCTTAGGTTTTGATGCCGATCATCCTTTCAGTTGCTGTATTTGTTATGCAAACACCGGGAAATAGTGTTGAACAGCATTCACAAACATTTCTTGTTTATTTTTACAGGTAATTGAATCCCTAGGGATTATTATATACAAAGCCTTGGACTATGGCTTGAAGGACAATGAAGAGCGGGAATTAAGTCCTCCATTGGAGCAGCTGATAGATCACATGACCAACACCACAGAAACCGATGGGAGTCGAGATGAGGGGTACGATGCGCTGGATGAGGGGGTGGAGGATGATGACGATGATGACAAAGAGGAAGTTGAGGCTATTCATTCCTATAAGGACGTCATGAAGGTACGCTAATAGGCAGATTATATGGGTATCCCACTGTCCTTGTCAGTGAGAAAATCATCTGTTTTCTGTGTTCTTGTCCAATTTCATACTATCTGTTTTCTTTTTTGATTTCCGATTTTCCTGGTTCTTTAAAGAATCTTTGCTTGCAAAAATGACATGCATTTCATGTATTTCATTTTGACAGTGAGACACAGCAAGACCATGATAACTTTAGGGTCTGCCATTCATATCACGTTCTGATTTCATCTCTGCGTTGGATACTGAGCCTTCTGGTGTAACATCTATTACTTTGTGTACGTTTGGTTACTTCACAGGTTGTTTCAATTTTCTCACCTTTTTATTAGTGCAGTGCTGCTTTAATGATTCTTCATCAGTTTCTTCCTTTGCCTCCCTTCTGTACTGAAGCAGAAGACTGCTTTTATAAGGGTAGCTTATTTGTAAGGAGTGAGTCAATATACACTACTTCATTGATGATAATTATGATTGTGATTCTTGACCTGAGCTGCGAGATTTAGAAATACAGTTTAGGAATTTTAATTGCAACAGGTTCTTCAGTATTATCTGGTCTGCCATGAACAATGATTTAGAAGCTTTTTATCCTCTGTTTTCTATAGAATAGTCTTCAGTACAAATTTTAGAGTCTCTAATCGAGACAAAGATATTAATAAGCATGTTAAAATTAGATTGAACATTGTATGTTGCTTGTTCTTAAGTGCAACTCATATCTCATCATAAGGATAAGAAGCTTAACATTTCACGGAAGAGTCTGGAACAGAACATCCAGCATAGCACATAAGGATGTATTAGCATGCAGAAAAGAGACTCCTCCGAAACTTGGTGCTTTTCATGGGCTGATAGTAAAGAGGAAATTTCTCAGGAAGTTAGAATGGGAATAGGTTTTGTTTGAGATGCTTTTGAACATGTAGTTAAATTGGAAATTTAAATTGGAAATTTTAAATTTGGAAAAGTAGCATTGACAACAACTCCTTGTAAACTTCACAGCGTGTTCCCATTTGGCCATTTTCTGGAGGATTTACATCCCTTTGTTCCTGCTTTTCACCATGACAGGGCTCTACACGCTTCACTGCAATCCACTTACCAGCCCAGCACAGTGACTTCTATACATGTACTGCCCTGACCAAGGCACCTCCCTTTCCTCCCTTAAGCAAAAATAATGCTAAATTCGTAAAGCCTCCTTTTTTCTCTCCTCAGAGAAACAATAAAGGTCAGAGGGACCAATGAAGGGAGCAGTTGAAGGGGTGGCCAGGCTGGATGGCATACTCTCACCTTCAAGCCCCTTGTCTCTGAGGCTTTCTGAGCTAATGCCCTGGCAGCAGGAGGAAGTGAGGGCTGCTTTTCTCTCCTTGCTGCCAGGTGACTTCCTTGTGCGTGGCCAGCAGCAGCAAAGGCATGGAGGAGCAATCTGCTAAGCCCCTGTAGGAGCTACTCCAAACAGTATGGTTTTATGTCCGTGCTGTACGGGATAGATGCAATCAATATATCCCCTTTCTCCCTGTTTGGTACAAATGTCGTGAAGTGGTGAAACAATCAAAGCTGGGTTACTAGAGGGAGAGAGCCTGTAATGCAGAGCTGAGTGCAGAGAGGTTTGCAGGCACAATTATTTTGCACGTTCTTTACTTAATGTCTGCAAGTAAGAAAATATAAGTTTGAAAAGCTTCTCTGAAATCTTTCAGTTACACTGGTACACTTGCCTGGAACTGAGAGGGCATGAAAAAATGTTTGGTCAGTCTTCAGCCAAGAACTGCTGAATGTTGGACTTTCTGTTTTGGCTTTATTAATGCATATCTCCACTGGCCTGAGGTATCTGCATACTTATGTGTTTTAAAATCAGCATCTTAACTTGTGTTATTTTTTGCTTATCTATTTCTTTTTATTCTGGAAATGTACTGCTTTTGTGATATCAGTTCAATGAGCTGAATGAATTTCAGCTGTCAATTCTACATCATCCTAACTTCAGCTCCCTCAGAATTCTCTTTTGTTGCTGTTGTTGCTTTCACCTAAGTTATTTGCTGCAGGCTTAACTCCGTGACTTGCCTTTATTACTCTGCGTCATTAATTCATTGACAGTACTAGAACAGCATTATCATTCTTGTCACTTTTTACATTTGTGCAAGTTTGCGATATTCTTTTTTCTTGACTTCAAACCTTTTCAAGGATAAGGCCATGTTTTGGATGTGACTTTTTTTCCCCTCCAGCGCTAAGCCACATTGCAGGCTACACCCTAATTTACCCACTGACTTTTGCACAACAGTAGTGTGTGGTCTTGTGACCATAAGGCATCATTATTGTAATTCCTAGCACCACTCACTGTGAAGCTTTCTCCTCTGCAGTTTGTAATGAATGCTGAAGCAGGTTTGCTTGTTCGTCATTTTTCAATCATTTTTGCCTACCCTGCATTCTTCAAATTGCAAGCCTGAAAAATAGTGGAGGTGGGCTGCATGATACTTGTACTGATTTTTAAAATTTTTAAGTATATAGTCTCTGGTGTGGACATGATTTTGTCCTTGAAATGGGATTATGCGTTTCATCTTTCTCCAAAAAGTGTCATTGAATTGCAGAATCATTAAGGTGGAAAAGACCTCTGAGGTTATCAAGTCCAAACATCAACCAACCCATCACCACCATGCCCATTAACCCATGTCCCTCAGTGCAACATCAGCTTGTTTCTTGAAGTCCTGCAGGGGCAGTGACTCCACCACTTCCCTGGGCAGCCTGCGCCAGTGCCTCACCACCTTTCTGTCACCAGTTACCTGGGAGAAGAGACTGACTCCCAGCTCACTACTACAACCTCCTTTCAAGTAGTCATAGAGGTCTCTCAGCCTCTTCTCCACACTGAACAATCCCAGTCCCTTTAGCTGCTCCTTATAAGACTTGTGTCTCAGATCCTTGTTGTGACTTTCAGTGTCTCTCTTACCACTAAATCTGAATTTTCCTGTAGATTGTTAATGTGGGTGAGCCAGTATTGAGATTAAAACACAGAGATAGGTAATATATGTGTCAAGTTCTGCTGTAATCTAAACTAGGTAAAGTCAATCCTGAACCCGCCCCTGATGTGGAAAATTCTGAGTAATGTGGTGGATATCTATTCCCAAGAATTGAGAAAAGAGTTCTTAATGGTTCTGCCAAGGTCAGTGCTGGCAAAGCTGCTTTTTTTGGAGAAGACATAGATGGGCTTTTCTGATGCAAGTCTGTATGTTTGGTTGATCTGGCTTTTGATTTCCTTGGCAGGACCAATCTGCTATGTAGACTTGATTGACTGTTTTAAAGACTGTATCTATGAAGAGAGGAGATACTATTTGCCACATTTAACTTTTTTGACTTTGATATGTTTCAGACCTGGTAGATCTGGTGCAAATGAAGGAAGAAATAGAAACAATAAGGACTGGATATTTTCAGGCAGCTGCTTTCTGTTTCTGGGGTATTCTTGCCTGTCCTCATCCACAGCATATGCACACAAGAAAGGCAGTACCTGTTCACATGTAGTATGGGAAATCCATATATTCTGGTTTATTACACACTATACAAGAACTTACAAAGTAGGCTAAAGGGGTCTGGAGTGCATCAAATTTACATCACACACATAGCTTTGTGTCAACAGAGGATATATGCAGAGTGGGCCTGGCAGGTGTGTTAGGCTTGCTAAGGGTGTGGAGAGTCCTGTTGTGGCATCTTATCATGGCACGTGGCCCTCCCTGATATTGAAACAAGATGATGCATCAGCCTCTTCCAGATCATGCTCAAACTCTAATTCTCCTCCTAATCTTAGCATTATCTCGCTCCTGATCTCACAGATCTCTGCAGTCAGATGGTCTAATCCAGCACCATTTCTCATGTTAACCTGGAGGTGCTTTCTAAGCTTCAGCTCAGCAACATCTGCTGGCCTGAGCCCCATCCCTAAGCTCATTTCTAGTGCTGCCTTTTATTCTAGGTCAGCAACCTCTTCACATTCCATATGAATAAAGCTCCATAAGCTTCCTTAATCCATTTGATACCAAGTTTTATTCTGTTCGGGTATTTGCTGGGTTGAGCTGCAGTCCTAGTTCTAGCTTAGTTCAGTCATTTCTTCCAGCTTTGATGAGTTATTGTATTGTATTATTTACTATAGATGAATTTGTTAGTGACCATACTAGCTCCTAGCTTAATTCTTCTTCATAGAAGAGGTACATCTTCAAGATGTACACAGACCTCTTTTCTACTGTCTTTCTCTTTACATCTCTTACAAGACATGCAAGGAGGCACTGGTCTTCATGAACCAATATCACAGAATCACAGAATCACCCGGGTTGGAAGGGACCTCAAGGATCATGTAGTTCCAATCCCCCATATCCTACTCCTACTTACGTTTTCAACCTGAAAGTAACTTAGCTTTTGCAGGAAACTGACACGTGGCTGAGCCACACCTTCTGCCAGAGACAAATATAGGTGGGTGGCCCCAGGGTGCTCAGTGGCCTCTGGACCTGGGCCTCACTAAGAAGTTGTTCTGAGGTAGTTCAATGACAGTGTTAGTTAATTCTGACCAAAAATTAACTGTCATGCAACTGCTGCTTCACAGAGATAAATTAGTGACCTAGGCCCTTTTCTAAACAAAACTCATACTTAAGAAATCTCCATGCTAACCTTTTAATTTGCATGAATGTTATTTATAGAGCAGCATGTTGCAGTATTGTGTTATCATGCTATAACCAGTGTAAACAACAGTGCAGTTTGCAGTATTTTATTGGCAGAAATTAGCATGTGTGCTTTGCTCATAAAAAAAGAGGAAGAGTAAGTTATGTTTCTGTGGAAAAAAAACATCCCATAATGTAGCTATTTGACTTGTCCTGTAATCATTGGCATTGGTCTCTAAAGTGAATTTGCCAATTTAGTTGATTCATATTTTGGTAGTTCAAGTGTGGACTGTCTCCTCTCAGCTGGAAAGAATTGAAATTTACTGTGATGATACTGATCTGCTTGTGTTTTGTTTTCAGTACTGGTAGTAC